GAAGTGCTGGGATTATAGGCTTGAGCCACCACGCCCAGCTAATTTTTGTATTTTTAATAGAGATGGGGTTTCACCATGTTGGCGAGGGTGGTCTTGATCTCTTCACCTTGTGATCCGCCCACCTCAGCCTCCCAAAGTACTGGGATTATAGGTGTGAGCCACCATGCCTGGTTGATAATATGAACTTTTGACTGCTCTACTGGAATTTGTTTGAAGTCCACCTAAAGTTTGGTTTAGATATTGAGAATGGTGATGCCATAGACTGACATGGTCTGTGAATGTTTACTACCTAATGAGGCTTTCTGGGAAAAGCAGGATGGACTTCCCCAGCTGGTCCAAATTGGAGAACAGGGATAGGTGAGTAGCCTGGGATATTGTATTAGTCTGTTCTCATGCTGCTAATACAGACATACTCAAGACTGTGTAATTTATAAAGAAAAAGAGGTTTAATGGACTAGCAGTTCCACAGGGTTAGAGATACCTCACAATCATGGCGGAGGGTGAAGGAGGAGCATACGCATGTTTTACATGGTGGCGGGCAAGAGAGAGCCTATGTAGGGAAACTGCCCTTTACAAAACCATAAGATCTCATGACATTTATTCACTATCATGAGAACAGTATGGGAAAATCCCACCCCCAAGATTCACGTACCTCCCACTTGGTCCCTCCCACAACATGTGGGGATTATGGGAGCTACAATTCAAGATGGGATTTGGTGGGGACACAGCCAAACCGTATCATTTTGCCCCTGGTCCCTCTCAAATCTCATGTCCTCACATTTCAAAACCAATCATGCCTTCCCAGCAGTCCCCCAAAGTCTTATTTCAGCATTAACTCAAAAGTCCACAGTCCAAAGTTTCATCTGAGACAAGCAAGTCTCTTCTGCTTATGAGCCTGTAAAATCAAAAGCAAGTTAGTTATTTCCTAGGTACAATGGAGGTACAGGCATTGGATAAATAACACCCATTCCAAATGGGAGAAATTGGCCAAAACAGGTCACAGGCCCCATGCAAGTCTGAAATCCAGCAGGGCAGTCAAATCTTAAAGCTCTGAAATGATCTCTTTTGACTCCATGTCTCACATCCAGGTCACACTGATGCAAGAGGTGGGTTCCCATGGTCTTGGACACCTCTGCACCTGTGACTTTGCAGGGTACAGCTCCTCTCCTGGCTGCTTTCACAGGCTGGTGTTGAGTATCTGCTACTTTTCCAGGTACACGCTGCAAGCTGTTGGTGAATCTACCATTGTGGGGTCTGGAGGAGGGTGGCCCTTTTCTCACAGCTTCACTAGTTAGTGCCCCAGTGAGTATTCTGTGTGGGGGCTCCAACCCCACATTTTACTTCTGCACTGCTCTAGCAGAGGTTCTCCATGAGGGCTCTGCCCCTGCAGCACACCTCTGTTCCAGTTCCCAATAAAGTTCCTCATCTCCATCTGAGACCACCTTCAGCCTGGACTTTTTGGTCAGAACCATTCAACACCATTCTCTAGGAAGCTCCAAACTTTCCCACATCTTCCTGTCTTCTTTTAAGCCCTCCAAACTGTTGCAGCCTTTGCCGGTTACCCAGTTCCAAATTTGCTTCCACATTTTGAGGTATCCTTATAGCAGCACCCCACTCTACCATTACCAATTTACTGTATTAGTCTGTTCTCACGCTGCTAATAAAGAAATACCCAAGACTGGATAATTTTTGAAGACAAAGAGGTTTAATGGACTCAATTCCACTGGGTCGTGTCCTCTGAGCTTCTGCCACAGGGCCATGTAGACAGCTCTTATCGCGGAGTTTTCCTGCCTCAAATTCTTCAGTGTCCCCTACACTCGCCTGCAGCTTTTCTAAGGTCCTCATGGCAAGGTTGATTCCCGCCCTGGGTGTTTCCCAGCCGCTCCCTCATCGGCCCCTGGAGGGCAGGGACACAGCCCCAGTCCCAGGGAGGCCGAGAACTCTTCCTGGTCCTGGGATCCTGCAGACCCCGCCCTCTCCTGACTTTCTCCTGCCTTTTTCCTCCTTGATTGGGGGCCCTTCTGCTCCTCAGGTCTCCCCTTTCCAGCCACTGCTTCTCCTGATTTCGAGTGTGGGATGTGACTTCTATCTCAGGACATTAAGGTTTCTCTCGTCCCAAATTCCATCCCACAGAAAAGGTGCTCTTGAGGTGGGGATCTGACTCCAATCCCCTCCCTGTGAATGTGTGGAGGAGAGGAAATAGACAAAATGGTGAGATGGGAAAGAAGAATGGAGACCCATAAACAGATGGCAGCCAGGCGCGATGGCTCATGCCTGTAATCCCAGCACTTTGGGAGGCTGAGGCGGGCAGATTACCTGAGGTCAGTAGTTCAAGACCTGCCTGACCAACATTGAGAAACCCCGTCTCTATAAAAAATACAAAATTACTCGGGTGTGGTGGCGCATGCCTGTAATCCCAGCTACTCTGGAGGCTGAGACAGGAGAATCGCTTGTACCCAGGAGGCGGAGGTTGTGGTGATCCAAGATCGCACCATTGCACTCCAGCCTGGGCGACAAGAGCAAAGCTCCATCTCAAACAAACAAAAACCAGAAAACAGATGGCAAAGTAGATGGCGGATGAAGGATTTGCAGAGACAGTGAATGAAGATGCTGAGAAAGGAGCAGAGGGAGAAAAGCAACTAGAGAAATTTAGAGAAAAACTGGGTTTCTAGAGAGATAGAGTTCCGCAAGATAGGGAGAGGGGCAGAAAGGAGGAGGCTCCTCCCAGATGCGAGAGTTGGGGAGAGAAGGAGGGATTTGGAGCCAGGGCAGACAGAGCAGCATGGTGCTGGGACAGCAAGAGGGGGCAGCCAGTGAGGAGAGCAGAGGGAGAACCACAGCCGGGGAGACCTGGGATCTGGGGGTGCCAGAGAGTGGGGATGGGGGGTGTAG